ACAAGTTTTTTAAGAGTTCTTCAGTTCAGTTCAGTTTGGTTCATATTTATTATTTATATACAATCATTATACATATTTAATATCCACGTTGTAGTAACGTCCATTGTGCTAGTTTTTTTCTCCTTAAGTCAATTACTCTACATTATTGGTTGTTCATATGAGCAACGCTTTCCATACACTTCTGTGTGATTTTCATGTATTTTTATGATTAACGTTGTCGCTTAAAATAATGGCACTGATATAAATTGCTGAATAATTTATCTAACATATTATTTCAGTAGAATGTAGAGCATGTACTAATAATCGCTGTTCAGTAACTTTAAATTTCATAATTTCTAGCACACACAACAATTTTCGTAACCCAGATTTCATTTGGAGCTATGTTAGACCAGCTGAACACCATTGCACAACTTCAGTACCTCAAACCAATTATTGATTTATATTGTCATGTGTGTGCAGCCAACCATTATTTAATATCTTACGTCCTTTTCACCAACAGTTTTCCACATAATTTTTTTGTGCTACTGCTCTTCTACTACTTAAGTTACGTCCTATGCTGTCCTATGCTTTCCACGATTGATAGGAGCTTTTAATCGTCACAGAAGGACTATTTTTCATATATGGAAACAATCAGATATTTTGTGCAGTTTATTAATTCCTTTGTATTTGCTTAATTTTTCACTTTGAATTTTCATAAATTCAATACTGAATATATGTTCGTTTGTAGGAAACTTTTTTAGAAACTTTTTAATCCATTTTAAAATGAAAGAAGAAAAAGTATATTGAAAATTTTCTATTATTGCTCTACAGAGATATTTGATTTAATATTTGTTACGTTACGTTTACTTTTCATCAAAGCTGAAGGAAAGTATTCCATTGTATTTCGTAAGAACAATTACTGCAGGCAATGAAAAATATTTTGATAAATTTTGTTCTCATATTTGTTTGTTGAGCTCTTACAGATGCAGCAGCAGCTGCAGTAGTAACAATGCCAGATATGAAATATTCTCCTAGTGGCTGAACATCAAATCATTCACGTAAATCCTAGAGAAATATCCGCAACTAAATCTTCACAACGGCTTTAAAAGGAATAAACAATGTAAAATTGCAACTAACTTGCAAATTCACGTAAGACGAAATCATGCAAATCCACTACGAATATAACTGAGATACTTTCAACATAAAGTAACAAAATTTCCCTGCTGTTTTCTTACTTAACTCCTAAATGTGTCAGTAAATAGTGCAGCATACTTTACGGCACTTCAGCTTGTAATGTGAAAATAAAGCGAATACAAAAGCTTAAAAAATGATACAAAAATAAAATTTTATGTTCTTATAATATATGCTTATATATATATATATATAAATACATGTGTACATAAGTAGTTGGAGTTGTTGTGTGTATTATGTGGCCATATATTTTGCATAACAGCAGATCGTTAGCATCTGCTTTTCTTGCCATTATTGCGCTACCGTTACAAAATGCAGCAAAATGCATTTTCTTTCTTGTACTTCCTTAATATTTTACATGCAACAAGATTCTGCTTTTAACGCCTAAAGTATATGAGAATTATGCACTTCTTTTTATAGTAAAAAATTTAAAGACGATTAAGAAATTTATGGTTATGCAATTCTTGCAACTTTTGTATCTTGTATCTAAGTTTGAGATATTTTTTTTTTGAAATTTCTTTACTTATGGAATTTAAGGAGAATGAATAATTTTTTTATTTTACTTGGTTTAGGATATATACGAAAATTTGTATTTAATTTTTGCTCGAACTATATATGAGCACAAACTAATATTATACAGTTTATATATTAGATCAAAGAAGTCGTATTGCCTAAGAATATGTAGTAACATATGTTCATCTCTTACTTATGTATTTTAGTGATATCCTAACATTGTAGCACTAATAATGTTTGCAATGTATACATTTAAGCTAAGTTGAGCACTTACTGTATGAATAAGTGGAGTGAAGTCAATCTCACTTCGTTAATTGTATTTTATTAAAATGTAAATAGATTACAAATGAGTCCGTTTAATTTGTGTTGAGAATTTTTCCAAAATTAAACTTTATTACTGTAGTAAATATTTTATTTGTTTTCTTGTAGTTTTCTATGGAGTCATTATATGACGAAAGAGAGTAGTGAATTTATGTATTTATAACTCAATTGAAGGTATTTAATTGAATTTTGCACAGCTACTGGTTCCCTTTTCTGATATATAGAGTTAGTTTCAGTTACTCTAATAGTAAGTATGTGTTTTGAGTTTACTGAGGGCATAAAAAAAATGGCTGAAGTTAAACACTTTACCGCAATCAGTCTATGAAAAATGTATTGAGCAATGAGTCGAGCGCTGAAATAGATATATTACTTTAGATAGGACTTACTTTGAAGGCAGCCTTTGTCTTTTTTTAGTAACTAATATTATCTTAAAAACTATAGTTAGATGATTTCTTTGTCTTTTTTTAATAACTAATATTATCCATAAAACTATACTATGCAATAATTTTGTTTTTTATGTTATATTAAAACAACTTATTTAAGATCTTTATTCAAAGGTTGCAATCTTCGTGTAAGAGTTCTGCGAATATTGATTTGATATTAAAAATATGAAGATGTAAATTAACTGAAAAAACATATTGGTTGCATTTTAATGGGAACATTTAACATGACTGGAAATAGTGCTGGAAAACCGCACTTCCATTCGAATTGATTATTAAAAAACAAATACATTTATATTTTGAGTTATGGTGAAAACAATATTGAATTAGATAATAATTCAATAATGGTATCTACATTAAATCAGGTATAATAGATCTAATCTATAACTATAACTTTTAGTTTGTATGGTATGGGTTATTTTTTTTTAGCATAAGAAATAGAAATAAATTACTGTAGAGTATTGGCGCTGCGATCAAATAAGAGTCTATTTATCTTGTTTTTTATTTTCACATATAAAGATAAAAACAAATTACTCTAGATGTACATTTTTCTAAACATAATTCTGCAATATACTTTATTTTAATTTTAATTTGTGATTTTTAAAGTCTTATAGTAAAGATTTTCATGCAGAAACACTATGAATATATTTTATAATGAAAAATTAAAGATGTTAATTAGTGTGAAAAAAGTAAAAATTCATTTAATATAAATATTGCATTATATTTAATTTCTATTTCTTATTTTTTAATTAAGCATATTCGTAATTAAGCATAAAATTTAAAAATGCAAATTATTCATGAAATGTGTCTTTATCAAACATATTTAATACTATTATTTTTTAATTTCATGAATAATTAAAATACATATTTAGGCATTTTACTTCATAATTAATAGGTAATTTAATTTTGATTGCAATAAATTGCCAATGGTATTAGCAAGTTTAATTGGGCAAATAATTTTATTTTCTTGTGTCTGAAATCGATTCCAAATGGCTAAATTAATTTTATTAAAGTTGTTATAATTTGCAATGAATTCACAATAACAAAAAACTAATATTATTAAAGATATTATTAAAATTTTCATATAAATTTTTTCAAAACTATCATTTTTATAAAATAATTATCTCTTAATATAATTCTGTTTAATATGATTAAATATCAATAAAGGTACTTTCCCATTTACCTCCTCTTGTTTATAATTTAAATACAATTTAATTAAATTTTCTTATTTATTATTTTATTTTTTATAATTAAAGTTCATTTAAAATATGAGCCTTTTATATATTGGGTTATAATGAAATGCTTTCCGTAAAATTTAATCTTTGTGCTTTTGTTTCAGAATAATTTAAATAATAATATTATATAAAATTGATTTAACATAAAATTCAACTGGACAAAAATAAGAGAACCAATGATTTAAATATTTTTAAATTTATTTTGTATTATATTCCCTACAATAGGCATTGCAGGATAATATTAATTTTGTTTTTTGTATATATATATATATATATATATATATTTATATATAATTATATATATACATAACGGTTAGGAAATAAGTCCAGCACATTCATTGGACTTTCATAATAACCTATATATGGGTCGATTATATAGAAAGAAGGTCATTATATAGACCTTTTATATATATGTGCATATATTATAGATATTATTATATATTTATCTGTATATCTATTTATCTATATCAATATAAGTTCTACAAAATAGATTTTATTCCTATATAATCGACCCATATATATTATATAGGACCCTATTCGATATAATGAAAATAAAATAATGTACGGGACATGTTTTCCGGCAGTCACATGAAACGAATATATAAGATGGACGGAAGCCTCACTTCACATTTCACAGAATGTTTTAAAACTATCTGTCTTTAATATTAAGATCAATAAAGGTACTCTATTATTTACCTTCTCTTGTTTATAATTTATAGTCTTGTTTATAATTTAAATAATATAAATAATATTTTGAAACATGTGTCAAGTTATATTATATTATGTATATTATATATGTATTATATATTTATCATACATATATTATGTATATATTGTGTGTAATAATATATATGTAGATATAGTATTGAAAGACGTTATTAGGTTTGTAAACTCTCTTAACTTATCGAAATTGATTTAGGAGACTCTCTCTAGGGATGGCACAATAGATCTTATAAGTTGCAATGACCATTAGCGTCTTTAAATAAAAATAATAATTTTATAATATGGTTGTTAGTTATAGAAGATCACAAAAGAATATTAGTATATGCTTCATAATTTGTTTTTAAAATCAGTTCTAGTTCTACAAGAAATTATTTTAATTATTTGTTTAATTTGTTTAAAGCTCATTATGTAAAAATGCAAATTTTCTGGTCACTATCCTCAGAGCCAAGTAAAACTCATTAAAGACATAATTTGTAAAATAAATTTAAATTTTTCTAGCAACGACATATCAAATAAAAAACTAAAAATATCAAAATGTAGTGAAAACCTAATGAAACTAAAATTAAAATTAAAAATTTAAAAATAAAAATTTTTATTTATGAAATCGCACAATTTTCGCTTGTAAAATAAATAAAAAAATACCAAAAACATGTTCGGCTGCATTTATCAGTTATGGGACTGGTAAGTATTGGCAAAAGCATATTGAATTACTGCAACTGACATATTTCGGGTAAATCTACAGATTTACAGCTTTGAAGCAGGTTTTACAAAATTTAATTAAACGTAATTAAAATTTCAACATCCGCACCTGTAAGAGCGGATACATGAAGCACAGTGAATTGCAGGCTTAACAAAGTCGTTACTTAACTGGCATTCCAACAAGTAACATTTGGTCGCACTCGCTATTTTGTGCCACCAGCACATAGTGTTGTTGTAAACTACACTATAGGCCATTTGTCTATTTGATGCGTTCCAGCAGAAGCCACATGTGAGCTTAATCAATTAAGGGCAATTAAGCTTGCACCACACAACAATTCATTTGGAACGTTGACAGCGTGCCTGACGCACTTGCAATTTAGCAATGACCGATAAAAAGCAAGGAAGCTTATGTGACCAGTTGAAGTACAAAATTCCTTGCATTATTTATGAGACAGAAGGCTTACTTTTGGTTAACGAAATATTTTTTGACAAACTTTAACTTCCTTAATATTTTTGACGATTTTAAAATAATAATAAATTTTTTTTACTGATTTAATTTAGTTGTACAGTTGATACAATTTATTTATTAAACCCATTTTTTTTTGCAGGTTGGAAGCACCCCCGTTATTTACAGGGGCAACAATGGACGCCAAAAAATTGCAACAATTGCAGCAGGCAAATGCACAAAAGAAAATACCGCTTGCATATCAAACAAATATTGCCGATTACCGTACGGCAACACATTCGCCAGTCTTCCAACAACAGCATCATTCACAAGGTGGTTATCATATGAGTGGCACGGGCTATCAGCAAAGTCCTACAGCTACTTCATCGAGCGGTGGACCATTGACGCCAATCGATATGCAGCCGCAACCAAATAAATTGCTAATGAAGCACAATCTTGGCGGTAATGCGTCGAGCAGTTCTCATAGCTCACCTTATCACCAGTCATATACGAGTAGTGAACAAATATATCAGTCACCAAATGAGCGAGCTTATTTGGCAGCAGCCGGTCGGCTGCAAGCAACATCAGCCAATAATCCTGCCAATACACTGCAACAACAGTATCAACAATTGCAGCAAGCTAAAGTGCAGGCACAGATCCTAACACAAAGCGAGGCAGTGCAACAACAACAACGCACTTTTGCACTTAGGCAAGCTTTAAATCCACCGGTTCCACAAGGTCATTACCATATGAGCCAATCTTCAAGTATAGTGTCCTCAATGACGCTGCAGCAACAACAGAGTCAACAACAACAGCAAGGCGCAGCACATAATCAACGTGCACCGCCTTCAAGTTTAAACTTACCCACCCAATTTCAACCGGCAAGTGGGCCACTTAAAGTTAATCAAAAAGGTCAAACGAACCAACAACAGTACTATCATCAACAGCAACAGCAGCAAGAACAACAGATATATGCGCAACAACAACAACAGTTTCAATTGCAACTCCAATTACAACATCAACAACAACTGCAGCAACAACATCAGCAACAGCAACAGCAACAGCAGCAACAACAACAGCAACATCAGCGCCTTAAGCCTGATCAACAAACACCTGGCAGTGAACATAGTCCAGTTTATATACAACAGAATCATCCTGGACACGTTGTTAACCAAGCCTGTCAGACACAAATTTCTGGCGTTAAACCAGGTAGCGTGCAACAGAAAATTACACCTAGTTCAGAGGACTCCTCTACGAAGAGTCCAACACATATACAGCTTGATCGTAAGAAAAGTGTGGGCTCCATACAAGCTCTAAAATCACCCATAACAAAGCGACCGCCTGCTTCACCAGTCACACTTTCAGGCTGGCTATATAAACAAGGTTCAGATGGGCTTAAAGTTTGGCGTAAACGTTGGTTTGTACTAGCTGAATATTGTCTATATTATTATAAGGGCCCAGAGGAGGAGAAGCTGCTGGGTTCAATATTACTGCCATCATATAAAGTATCTGCTTGTCTGCCGGAAGATAAAATATATAGAAAATATGCTTTTAAATGTGAGCATCAAAATATGCGCACATACTGGCTTGCCGCCGAAACTGCTGAATCTATGGTGCAATGGGTACGTGCGCTGACTGCAGCCACAATGATGCAAGCACCTAGCAGTGGCGAATCAGATCAAAATTCACAACCTAGTGTCTCGTCGTCACTCAATCATAGTGGCGAAAATTCCGATTCCGGCATACACACTTTACAATCACAACAAAGTAAGATGAGTCAAGGCCAAGTTACACCGGCTTCGGAAAATGGTGGAAATGCAGCTAATGCACATGCTAATTCTGCCTCGAGTAGTAATAGTGGCGGAGCACAACCATTGTATGCAAATGCACCACCAAAACCAAGACGTACTAATGACGGTGGCTACTCATCCCCAAGTCCTGAGCATTCCATTGACAATGAACGCAAACATCAACAACAAACTGGAGCGCAGCACGCTAGTCGTCGTAGTGGCATCATGTCACCTACATTACAACAAATGCAGCAACAACAATACCAACCACAAAGATCTCAACAACCACAGCAACATCATGCTATTTACGATACGCGTACCGGTAATGTGTCGACAGCATTGCGTTTACAACAGGCACAGCAACAATATTCCATCGATAATCTGGAAGCACAACTGCAACAACAAATGCAATTAGCCGGTGAGGAATATGGCAAAACACATAACGATTACATGGAGATGGAGGAACAAATTATGAGATTACAACAGCAACAACAACGTGCAGATGATATTTATGGCGAGCGTGAATTATACATGCAAAAGGTTATACAGCAACGATACCCAACACAGTCGTCTGGCTATCCAAATACAGAACGCCGCACACCAGATGCGTACGGACGCTCGAAGAATCGTGTTTTCTCTGATTACGAGGACATTTACAATATGACACAAGGTGGTCCAACATCGGCACAGGAGGCTTTATTGCAGGAAGCCGCTAGTTATCGTCGACCACTTAGTCCCCCTACTTATGACGGCAGTAAACATGTACCAGCCATGCCGAACAGATACACGCCAAATCATTTGGAGGTAAGTAATAAATAATTATGGATATATTGAATATTCTGTGATTGGTGCATTTAAATTCCTTCATGTTGAAATCATTGTAATGTGCCAAGATTGTTTTTGATTTAAAAATTTATTGCACGACTGAATCGAATATTCGAAATATTGATTTAATATTCTGATGTGTAATGAATACAAATTATATATTTCTTTAAATAATGGTTCAGTAAAAAGTAACTTAATATTCTTCTTTAAATTGAAACTGCTTTGAGTTGAGCTTATTACTATTGCTTTTAGAAATTAAAGTAATGCAAACTCTTGGATAATATTTCGGTATATAGATGATCTTTTTACAAACACAATGGTTTTTGTCTAAAATTATCTGCATTATCTCCGATTTGGCTGAACCATTTTAAAAGCTCCTCTATTAAAAGAAAAAAGTCTGCTGTTTAGGATGTGCATATGTACTAATTAATAAAAGATGTAGAAAGCTTGCGATACATATAGGGATGGGAACCTTTATTCAATAATTACATTTCTTCATACCATATTGATACTACGTGCTCACACATTTATAGCACCTAGTCTAAGATAAACTTAGCAGCTATTTCTTTTTACTTTAGAGTATTCAATTTAAACTTATTCAGTTATTTACTTAATTTGCTACTAAAAATGTTCTTGGTACGTGGAGTGATTTCTGTGGTTAATTTTGATAGCAAACCAACTCTAACATGTCTTTAGGTGTAAACACTTTTTCTTAATCATATGAACACAATAATATTTGCCTAAATAAGTCGTACCTGTTTAATACAATGGACCAATAGGCCTAAGTGGATCAATCAGACCATCGGTATAACCTAAGTCGTTCCTGTTCATTTCTTTAATAATCTTTTGCTCATAGTGTTTGTATTGTTTTTAATTCTGAATGCTGTAAAAAGTATGTCGTATACATAAGTACAGACGGGCCTGTTGGCTTCCCTTATTATAAGAATATTAGCTTTTTTAAGAGACAGTTTGTAGCGCTTGTAGAAAAGACATCGGAAAACCAATTGTGTCTATGTTCAGGGTTATCTGAAACCACAATTAAGCTAGTATTGGGCGCCATATCTTTAACATACTCGGTGATATTTTAAATATCACTATTTGTACTTGTATTTATGAATGCGTCCGACGCATTCTAGTATGTCCATCCTTCTACCCACAATTATGGGAAATAAAGAATCAAAACGGCTTTCTTTGCTAAATAAGTAAGATTCATCATCCTACGTTTTCAGCCTTCCACTTCAACTATGCAGTATTATTTAATAAAAGAAGGGATATCCTTCTGGCTTAAAATTGGATCGTCATATGAAAGTGTGATTACTTAGTGTTGACATTGAGGTTTAATATTATATTATATTGCTTAAATCAAACTGTTGATATCAAAATTTTAGTAAGTATGTAATTACAGTTAAAATTTCAGATGTTTCTATTAAAGTCAATTAATATAGTCAAAACCATCATTTATGTAAATTGTATTAATTATGAACTTACATAAATGTTATAATATGTAATTAGAAGTCTAATCTCTACATATAAAAAGTTTAAAGAATTTTATCTCTGATGGCAGTTAAAATTGTTGATAACTTTATACTCCGAAATAAATAGTGTTCCGTACAAGATTGGTATTATTTAGAAGAGAAGAGAGATTGATATGCTTTTATATATATTATATATATAAATATATATTATTTATTCTTTTTATTATATGCCAATCGTTTTTCAGTCAATGTAAATAGTTAACTTTTAAAAGCTTATCTTCTCTTCTTTTGGAACATTTAAGAAGTATTCAATCATTTGATTTGAAAATGCTTCAAATTTGAGATATTTAAATTTTTGAAACTCGTTTTATTATAAAAATGCGCTCAATTGGAAACTAATTTCGTTCCTTAGTATTGGCCATTATGTAGACGTCATTCCCCAATGCAATAACAACACACAAACTACAACTCGAATCAACCTGAAAACAACGGATAGCACGAATCGAAACTTTATGATGATGGCGCATAAGATATCTGAAATTTTCTGCTCGTAAACAAGAAATCATTTGGAATTTGCATTTAAATTTTATATTTTTTGAAGAAAAAAGTAGTTTAAGTTTCCAAGAAAAAGCGAAACATAAAAGAGAAATGCCTTGGACTCATAAGATACACACAGAGCATCTGTAATGAAACTGACATGACACCGCAACAAGAATAGCAAGTCTCGTAGCATAAAATTAAGATGATTCTCTGACGTAGTAACCCATTTCCTGCAGCGCCAGTGTAAACTAACACATACTCAGCGTTTATCATAAAGCCCTAAGTCAAAACTAACAGACGTGAATGCAGAACATAAAAAACATTTACGGTTATAAGGATTTCGTATGAAGTATTTGTTTCCTTCTGCACACATTCCCTCGAATTTGCTTAAGTACACCTTTGCGTTTTTTCCTCGCCACAACTGAAGAGCATCAGGACCGGGCAGTTTTCAAAACTTTCGACTTGAAACAAATAAACTTTTGTGGTACATCGCTACACATACGTACATACAATTGTTTACAAGCCTGTATCTTTACTTGTTGGTAGCCGTTAAAGGAGTGCCCCTCAGCTCGCTTTTGCTGTCTAAATTTGACTTGCAGTTGCGCCAGTTTTCCATTTGGACAGGTGCACACGTCGGCGTGGTTTTAAAGTTTCCTTCTCCATTACTGTCTTTTTCTTTTTTTCTTTTTTGCTTTCTTTCCTTTTTCTTTTTGTTTTTGCTTTTTTTCTTATTGTTTCTGTTTTGATTTGGTTGCTCCTAGTTGAACTCTAATTAGGTTTTACTGTGTCAGTGGGTGGCAGCGTAGCATGGGCGTGTTTCATTTTCCTCACTGCTTGCGATTTTCCGATTTTCTTTGCTGCTGACGTCGTTTATTTTTAAAGTAACAGCTTTTGTCTTTGGTTCTTGAGTTTGGTGTGCTGCTAAAGGGAAAATTTAGGAAAAACAGTAACGTTATTTATTGCTGACTGAATTTATGGGTCAGAATTGGGGATTTGCGTGCGTGCTCGCTTATTACCAAATAGAGTACTTGAACATCAAAAACAAGGAGGAAATGAAAACAAAATAATAGTATGATATCGTGGAAAAAGAAGCGGAAATGAAAATGTAGGTGGAATAAGAGCTCAAATATTTATTAGTATATAAACTATCTCGCATTTAAAATTTACCACATTTTATAGTAAAGAAAATAATATCAGTTTAATTGAGCAATGAAATTTTTAAATTTTTAAAACTAGCTATAATATTACTAAAAATAAACTAAAATAAGTATTGATAATCTAGTCATTTATTAAATGTTCAAATACTTTTATTATTATCAGTGAACGAAAATAAACTATAAAGTACCAAATATAATGTATTGTTTTGTATAATTGTTAAAAAACTCTAAAGAACAGTGCATCAAATAAGGCAGAACACATCAAAACATTTTAGAATTTGTATTCTGAACTCAAAAATTATAATTTTCTCGAAGGCAGTCAACTTTTTAGCGATCATTTCGAAAAGGTAGTATATTTTTTTGTGTCTATCGAACAATCTATCGAAGAGATTTCCAATTACTATGATCGCGTGCTATTGCTCTTAGCTCACTTAATGATTTGCTCGTTTCTTTACTGATGGTTCTTCTCCATGTTGTCCTAGGCCGACCGCGATTTCTTCTTTCCTGCGGATTCCACTCGAGTATAGCATGAATATTTGGTTGTTGTTCAAATAAAGATATTGTGTAACATGCAATACATAGATAATATTTATCTTTATATATTGTTTTGGATGGATGATTGGTAATAATAATACTTATATACTGACAATCACACAAAGTGAAGCACTGCAACTGTTTCATATACTTTCTGCAATCAATCAACTTGAACCGAACATTAGATATTTAATTCTTTCAATGAATGCCTCCCATTGAAGGAGTCTTAATACCAGATGAAGATAACAACACCCGTTATAGTATTTTCCTCTTAGTCTAGGTGGAAGTTGAATAGTTAAAAATAATATGACAAGATCACATCTGTTTCTAAAAAATCCCAATATTTTGTCTCAAATATTGGCCAGTTGTAGTACCATGGATTAGCGTTTATATGTGCACCGACTAGGGGTCATCGCACGAGTAACGCCGAAAAACATTACTCTACCATTAGGTGAAGGTGAACCAAACTGACATAAACTTGGCTAAGTCTTTAATTTTGCTCGGTTAGGTCGGTAAAAAAGGGTCTGAGATGATTTGACATCGTCTTCTAACAAAGGATAAACACTGACACATGAGGTGGATCACGCTTTCCTTCTCATTTTCACAGCCACAACCTCGACAAAAGGTAGACCCAGTTTCATAGCATGACTTCGTATTACGCTGTGACCTATCAGCACCAATACCGTAAAACTGAGCAGATTACGCTCAGTTGAAGCAGCTGACTGTTGCGTTTTTTGTACTCAGAAAGAAGTGAGAAATTCAATAGGTTCATTATTGATGACAAAATGTCTACAATCATTCTTTAAAATACAACTTCAACTTAGCAATAAATCATATTATTTAAATTAGGGGACATAAATTTTTAACATTTGATTTATCCGATTGTTCGAATATTTGTGATGTGTGAAAGAACTTTAAAGAAGAAAATTTATCTCAGAACAAATGTCTTTCTGCATCATATACAAATAGAAGAAAAGGCAATGTACATTTCTCATCATATGTGGACTACTAAGAAATTATGTTAAACGTCAATATTTTTAAAAGTGCATAATTAAATATCAATTACATTTTTGTTTCTTATTTAAGGGAAAAATAATCTTTCTTGAACTCATTTACAAATTATACTAATATATTAACTTCTGCATATATTTTATAGCATGCATCCAATCAAAGTGGCAGTAACATAAACTTACGTTCACGACCTGTTGCCGCAATAGTGCGACCACATTCCGCAGACTTCCTAGAGTATGAAGCACGTGCAGAAGCTGCTGCTGATGAAGCAATGGGTATGATTTCGCCGACACTCAAACAGGATGCAATACGTGCACCACGTCCAAAATCAAGTCTAGACATCAATCGCACACCTGATAGTTTCTACTATTCTGAAGCAAGTTATGCTGATAAAATGCGTAAAAGCGCTTTATATTTGCAACATCCTCAAAGCGCAAACGCAGCACAACCACAACAGCCTGGTCCTTATAGGACACAAGATTTCCTAAGTCCCGTCGGTAGTGGCTTAAATACAATCGGTTATGAGAATCCCTATGAACGGGCCTATAAACGTAACGAATTATTGAATGACGCACTGGGTACACATGGTGCATCAAGCATACCACGCATGAGTCGAGCTGGTATAATACCTGGTGGTTCACATGTAAGATCACAATCATCGCATCCACATACAGCCACACAACATGCTTCACCACAACATCAAGCTCAAGGCTCCTATTTTCAACCAGCGGTTTCGACGCAACAAATTATACAACAAAATGAACAATTTTTACGTTCGGCTAGTGCACGTTTACCCAAAAGAACTGGTGGTTTTGATGATGATTATAATTCAACACCTAACAGCGTTGGTGCTACATCACCGCCAACAGCTGCCAATACAAATACAGCACAGGATGGTGAGCGTAAGCGTGAGGAATCTATGAAACGTTTGCTCGAATGGAAACAGCGTATGCTACAATCACCACTGACACGAAAGGGCATACAACAAACTAATAGTGGTAGTAATATGTCAGCTATGTCCAAATTGGGCAGCAATCCTAATATACTTTTAGCTTCAACTACTGTGGCAAGTGGTGCACACTATGGACCTACAGCCGCTGGCACAAATGCACCTATGGCTGGAAATAGCTTGGTAGGCGGTGTAAGTGGCATACAACGTAGTCGTTCCGAGACGCATGCTAATACTGGACCTATTGGTTATAATAGTTACTCGTCCGATGATGAAGGTATGTGTATTAAAGTTTTTATCAAAAAAAATTCAAAATTTATTCGTTTCATGTTTGTATGAATTATTAACTTTGTTCGTTACCTTCACTTTGGCTTTATGTCAAAGGGAAAGTGGATTCATTTTTTTTTTTAAATAATTATCTTTCAATGTGCGCCTTTTATAAATGATATAATTCTTTATACTTTAATTCTACCATTGGCTATACTTTCTCTACACTTGCTCTACTTTGTTTGTATTTCAATAATAAAATTGCTTGCCTCTATAGCTTTTATAGTATTTTGAACGAAATTTTGTTATTAACATGAAATTCTTATTCATAATTTGTTTTGATATATAATTTGGCATTTTTTGCAAATATTGTATTTTAATATATTATTTTTTTTTTTTTCATCTATTTAATCGCATCGTAGCTTTCCCATAATAAAGTATCGCTTTAGTGTATCTTTTTTGCTATATAGAAACTACTAACTTTTGCCTGTCAAATAAATTGTAGAAATATAGAATTCAATGTATTTATCTCTTATATAAAAAAAACTTAAATATACTAAAAACAAAATTCTGATTTGAGAATAGGGTATTATAGACATCTTTTTATTGTGGAAACTAACAGGACTATTTATAAAAATATTATATGCAGTTCCTAAATATTGAAAAGTGTCAGTATTTGTAAGGAGAGTTTTAGAATTTCGTATTATTATTTTGAGATGAGAACACAAGATTTATAATTATGATTTCAAAGAACGAGTGAAAGATAAGGTGTATTCAGAATCTTGATTAACGATCTCGGTAACGGATATTTCACTATAACATAGTAACATTGCAAAGTTGCAAAAAGAAAATGCCTGTATTTTGTTGTTGGCACTTTACATTGTTACCACATTACTCGATTACTAGGTAAGCTGTTAGTTCTAGATCGTGAATACCATTATAATAACAATGATGTAAAGCGGCGACAACAAGATATAATGTTACTTATAATGTTAATTACATTGTAAAATAGTACTTTTACTACATATATCTGTCAAGATTGTCATTACAGCTGTATAGTTAGCCAAAAATTCAATTAATTAAAATAATATAAAAATGAATTTTTGTTGTTGTAGTCGACCACTCGAAAACCTCCTTAAATATTTTTATAAATTGAAAGCATTGGGAGCATTTTAAATGATAGAACCATTATAGAAAATCTTTGCTTTAGCGTAAATGGATTATGACTTTCTCATTAAGTCCAAAGATCTGCCAAATCTAAACTATATTTATATTACTTTATTTTTTCTATGAGTTAGAATGTTCTTAAAATTTATAAAAACATTATTTCTTGTATTTTCTATATACAAAGTGTTTACTTCAATTTTAAAAATTGCTTTGTATTTTTTGTTTATTAACCATAAAAAGCCACATTTTATTAATATATAAAAAGTATATTTTATACAAAATAAAAAAAAACCAAACTTAATTAAAAATTTTTCCCAGTGTATTGCTCAGAAAATTTAAAAAATATTTGAAGCTAATAGAAGCCATATAAGTATATGAGTATTTGCTATGCTTAAGGAAATGCATTTTTAATAGGAATTTCTAGTTGCTTGCACATTACGTACTCTTTTATCTAGAATGCTTAGTGTCTATGTTTATATATACCTATATATATATAGGTATAACTGTTTATGTTATTAAAAGCAGATAAAAAATTTAATTAAACTATAAAATTAGATTTCCTTTATGGTACATAAAAGTGCTTTGCTTGTTTTTTTTTTATTTTTTGCTTTTTAGTTTACTTCTCAATTTTTTGGTTAAATTTTTTATAATAGTATTTTGTTTCTATATTGTATATATGTTTTGTTTTTCTTTTTAAAAGTTAAAGTTTTTAAAATAATTTTATATTATGATAAAAAAAATTTTATAACCCATAAAAGTCAAACAACAGAAGTCAACAATGTTCACCTTCCTGCCGAGCGTTACTACGGAAATGAAACTGGTATTAAAATTAAAATTAAAATCTGTGATTTTTTAGTCCTTCCTATGCAAATAATTTTTTCTTTTTTTGAATTTTTTTTTAATATATAAACAAATATTTGATACAAAGTTTGCTAAACAATGTTACACTATTACAAGTAATATTATATATTTTAAATATTTTGCGGCCTATTTGATACACAGAATTTCTGTTAAAATGCACATTTTTCATATTTTACAAAGCAAAAATAAACATTTTTCGCTACTAATTCTGCTTAAGGAAAAAAAAAATTCAACAAAAACAAAAAATTATAAAAAAAAAAATACGGAATGTAAATATTTTAATAATAAATTCAGAGTTGTTAACATTTTTTTTTGGACAATGTTACAAATATAAATCACACATAGATACATATAAACACTTACGGATACATGTAAATCATAGGCAAATTTGTTTAATAATTGTCAGAAAAATGTTGGTGGAAACTATAAAAAATTAAAGTTACAATAAAAAAATTAAATTAAATGGGTTCCAGCTATGTTAACCTACATTAATTATAAGGACTTTAGGAATTTATTAAGTGAACTATAAAAATGAATTTCAATTAACAAGTATTTTTTTAAATTAATTAAAACAAAGAAAATGTAAAAAAAATAGTTTTTTTTTATTTTATCATGTTTTTATTATATATTTAAACTATAGTAAATTAAAACATTTTAAGCATTAATTATTAATTTTTATTGTTAATTTTTTTTGTGGAAAATGACGCGTCTTGTGATGAATAGAAAATATTTAAAACTTAGGAGTATTCAAATAGAAATGAAAAGACAACAAATGTTTTAGTTAATTTATTGCAATTTGTATCGTCAGCTAAATTTCAATAAATTAACTAAAATTTTTGTTGTTGTCTTTTCATTTCTATTCGAACATTTGTATTGTTCTTTATATTACATTCAAAACTGGTACTACCCTACTCGCTTCGATAACTATAATTAAGATTTTAACATTTAATTTTTTCTAAAATTCTGCCTAAAATAGAGAATTCCACGTTTTTGGGAATATAATTGAAAAAAAACCAGACGATATATTTTTTATAATGAAAAAATCTTAAAAGATTCTTAATGGTTTTTAACGAACCATACCTTGTTCTGGTATTTCAATCTCGAAATGTCTAGTCTGTCAATCTGTTTCAAATTCAACTCATACATTGTGTGTTCTGGAGTTTTATTAGCTCTGTTTGTTTTTGGCTGAATTTTCTTATTTTGAAATGTTCACTCCATTTCTTATACGAGTATTGGCTTAATGTTTTCCGTTATTTTTACGATCACTGCTGATGTGATCTGGAAGTGGTCCAGGGAGGGGAACAATTTAAGAAGGTTCATGAACAATATTTATTTTCATATCATTCACTTAAAAGATATAAGGATAAAAAAACGGAAATTTAGTTTTAATTGCTGTCTACTACTTTTTACTTTTGTGATCGATGTATCACATTACCTCATATGCCCTCTTTCCATGATAAAATATTATTTTAGGCAATAGTTTAGGGGGTTTTATTTCTAAAGTGGTTTTTGCATAACCTATAATCACACTTCTCTATTGAATAAAAGTTATAAAAATTGCAACAAAATAGGTGGAATTATTAAATGTAACATGGTTTAACTTCGGAATTGTCTTCGGCTTAAAAAAAAAAAGTTTGTCGAAGGAACGTCTATTTTTATTAATTAATGGAAAAAAGTATTTTAAAGAGACGTTGATTAAAAGAAAACCCTCTCCTTCAAGAAAACTTGATAAAATATGAAACTATTTTATATTTAAAATCCAATTAGTGGTAGGAACTCTTTAGTATAATGAACTTTACTATTTAATATATATAATACTATATAAGTAATAAAGAGTTAATAATAATACATAATGTTAACAAGTTCGGCCGCTTAAATATCTCTCACTAAAATCTATATAAGATTTGCTACCCACAATAACGAACCATAGATCTTGTGTAGTTTTTCTATTGTAATATTTAGTAATGATTATAAAATTTTTATAACATATATCATTAAACATTAACCTAAATACCATATTATTCCCAACTTGAGCGCTATTTCAATTTTAACTTTTACCATTAATTGTGCATATGTTTGATAGCTAAGTTTAGCGAGACAAATCTAGACAATTTCAAATATTTCTATTCTGTGACAATATTTCTCTATATCGAAACAGATACAAAAGTTGTGGAATAATCAAAATCAATTGACTCCATTTTAATTTTTATTATTTAAAGTATAGAATCTAAATTTTTGAATGGTACTGCACTCAAGGTGCTCGAACACTCTAATGTTCGAACAGAATCAAGTTCTTGTTTAGACACATGCTCTTCTCATTAAATTAATTTCGTTGAAATTCTGTCACGAAATTTAGTTAATTAATTAAAATTAAATCTAGTATTACCGAAGATAACTTCGCCATTTGAATTCGATTACATTAGATTGAAAATTTGGTTGATTAATTAAAATTTAATCTAGTATTACTAAAGAAAACTTTCCCAATTGGAAGTTTTCTTCATTAGATTGGATATATTCGTAAAGAAATGGAAGTGATATATTTAAATATATATTTAATTTTATTGAGATCTATAAAACTTGATTATATCCGCTCTTTCAAAGGATTTCTATAAAATCAGAAATGAAATGAAACTTTCTCTCACAGCTAAACATTTAATCCTCTCGCATTACGTTTACACTATCGCAATTAACTTAACAAATGTGCAGCAATAAGTATCATAGATAGTTTCATACAAAGGCTATAAAAATTATATGTGAAAACGTATGAGTAGTAATACTTAACTTTCTGTATTATATTGCGAAAGGCTAGTTTCTTTTACAAAAGTATTTGCGAGGTAGAATTATTTAGGCAAGGCATTATTGAGTCAATAGTAGGTTTATTAGTTATTTAACTTTTAAGTATTTTTTATTCATAAAACTTTTTCAATATATATATAAAATTTTATATATTAGTAAAAATTATATTAATAGAAAAAAATCAATTTATAAAAAAAATTCTTTTACTTAATTTTTTAATATTAGTTTTTTTTTTTTTGGGAACATATTTTTAAGGATGTGGGTTTTTCAGTTTTTAGAAAAAGTTTGTTTTGTTTTTAATTTTATTTTATTAAACGTAGTTACACACGCTGTGCAAACTTTCGTTTTCACGCCATTAATACCTTCATCAAAATAAAATAGACTTTCCTGAAATTTTTCTGAGTAGTGGAATTTTGTAAACTTTTTTCCCAAATTAAAATCGGTAATTGGTGCTCTTCAAGTTGCTAACTTTATTTTAAAAATCCTTTAACAAAAATCATACGAAAATCGCACTAAATACATTAATGAAAAATATTTTCTGTATTCATTGTTTATGAATTTTTTTTAATTTAAAGTTCATTTTTTCTTTTCATTTTTTCTTGTGAATACATTTATTTGACATATTAATTAAACATAAAAATAAAAAACGAAAATTATAAACAAACAAAAACAATATCAGATGGGACGGACATAAATGCGCCGGCAGGAAGGTCAACCAACACACCAACTCCTAACACGGCTGCTGCTAGAAACAGTAGTAGCGCGTTAAAAGCAAACTCTACTGCGTGTAGTAGTAGTAACAGCAGCACCGAATGCAACACAACAAAAATAATAACAATAACAACTGCAAATATTGAAACACAAAATACACAGTCAACACGATTGACACATTCGACACATCCAACACACTTGACATCATTGACACCATTGACACATATGACAAATACAAACACAACACCCACGACCAACATTAGAACCGAATCGACAGTCACACATAGCACACAGAAAAAACTGAAACCAATTTTAAAAATCACTGACCCGACTAAGCCAATCCTTAAAGCCAATCCGTTGCCAGCAAATGTAAGTACAACTCATGGCAGTTTGGATGCACAGCAAACAAATTTGACTGGCAGAAATTTACGCATCAATATGACAGCACTTAAATCTGAAAACGTAACCACTCAGGATGTTGCTCCTAATTTGAGTATGCACGGTAGGTCGGCTTCTGTGCCTATATTGCCGCAGAAACCCGCACCCAAATCACCACAAATTACTTCATATACGCCAGTGTATAATACAAAAACTTTAACCACCACCCCCGTTAAGAATTATGAAAATATAGAAATAATTTTAAGTGAAAGCAAAAATAAAGAAGCCACAACATCCACAGATACTACAAATGATATAACTGAGGCTAATAAGGAAATAAGTTTAATCGATCGAACATTAAGTGATTGCACTGATACCGATTCTGTTATCATTAATGATGAAGAAGAAACTCCCATGCTAATGAATTTAAAAATTTTCAAAGAAACACAAGAGGCTAGAGAATTACTGAGTAAACGTGCAAATGAATCTAGTGCTACAGAAAGTACAAATGAAACTGAATTACCTGAAATAGATAGCAACCTTGAGGCGGAAGAGGAAATTGATGAAGTATGCGACGAAGATGATGACACAGCATGTGAAGAATACACTGATGACGACCTTGATGAGGCTTTAGCCGAAGATGCTGACATTGATGACGAAGCTACAACCACAATTGAAACTACAAATCTAAAAATAGTGCTAACAAAAGAGCACATTTCATCCATCAACAACGGTAAAGAACTACAAACATTAATCGCACATCAAGCACAGCTCGATGAGAATCATTATTTGCCTATGACACCGAAGAAAACTGACTTTACTGGCACTCTGGCACTATTCAACATGTGTGACTCTACTGCGGAAGAGGAGAATCCATATGTTGAGATGACTAAAGGCTTGCATGATGATGACAACCGATCGAACTATGAAGTTATGTACATTAGTTCTACCACAAATGCATTAATAACAAGTGCAGCAGCAAAAGCAAAACAGCTACAAATCCAATTAGAGCCAGTATACATGGAACTTTCTAGTGGTAAGTCTACAGCTAGTACAAGCGCTGCAGCTAACACAACAACTACACAATCTGCTGGTACTACGAAAACGGAAGAAGCTCAAAGTGGTTCAGGAAAATCCACACTTAAAAAGAATAAAAAGAATACGGATACTTTAAAAAAGAAATCAAAAAAACTAGTCACAGAACGCACACAAAATAAACGTAAAGATTTACCCGATATATTGAAACCCTCACAAAGTACTATGGCTTTAGATACAGATAGCTCTGATGCAGATGATGAGTCTTCGAAATATGTTGATGCAAAAAAAATGCGTTCTCGCTCACGTTTCAGTTTATCAGATACCTTTAGACCAGCCTCATACTATTTGGGCTCTTCAACACCATTGGCGAATTGTACAGAGAGTTCAGATAGTGAAATAGTGCCACCACCGCCTATACCTGCATCCCCACCACCAATGGAAGAGCTAAAAACTGAAGAAATTTTCTCTTCAGAAAACTACGATACTGTTAAACGACGCGATAGCAGTAGTGGTAGTAAATATAATTTATCCTATGAACAAATTCCAAAAATACATTCCAGCAATTCATCTTTGAATTTGCCAAAATCAGAAGCAACATTGAAAAGTAGTAGACTATCATTACCAGATCAATTTGCAAAAGTACGTAGTACAAATCACCTAAAACCACCACACCCAGCTGTATTGAAACATCATGAACGTACACTTTCTGACTCCAATTACAGTTTTCAAACTGATAACAGCTCAAATAACTCATCGGATTTTGATCTCTACAATAAATTGAAGCAGAACTCGCCTTCATTTGTTGCTACACCCATACGTTATCCTTCAAACAGCTCCTTGCAGCATAAGTATAGTTTTAATGTTACTGTTACTGGTACTGGTGACAGTAGTGAAACCGATTCGGTAGAATTTCGTCATAGACAAGGCTCCGACTCTGAACTGGAACGACAACGTTCACGTCGCCCATTGTCTGAGGAATCTATAAGTGAAATCGAATCACTGAGCGAGAAATTTGAAGAAACACTCAACTCATCCGATCTCGATACATATTTGCATCAACTACAAAACAGCGATTTGTATTTGTACAATAACAGCACCTACGAAAGTGCTAGTAGTTTACTCAATGATACAGCCGCGGCTGCTGGAGCCAATATACTCACAAATTTAATTAAACCACCTAAAATATTTAGAAATAAAGACGATGAGCATTTCTATGGCAATATACATTTTGTTTCCTCAACTGATTCCTTGCAGAAGTTAGAAGTTGAAACCAAGGATAGCAATATGGAACACGTGCTCGATTTGTTAGGTGCTACCAGCATAACACCAACTTCAGTGGACCAAGAACAAAGTCTGTTCCTAACTCCCATGCATAGTCGCAATAATAGCAATATTTCAGAACAATCTGCACCCTACTATTACTCAGAGTTAAGTAGTAGTCGTGAAATGTTAACCACACCAACAACAAATAATACCATCACATTGAATAATCAACGCGATATACATGCACAAAGTGGCTCCAATATAGCACATATACACAATCCAATAGAGCGGCACAGCATTGATGTAGAGAGCTTAGCAGATAAAGACCAAGCTATCGATAGTAAAAACTTGTATAAAATGAAAACCAACATTGAAAAATTAAGCTACAGTACGGGTAAAAATCTGAAAACTGGTGAACCCTTTCAAAATGCAAGTGTCACTTCACAAGCATTCCATCTGCAGCAAATGCAGAGCCCTCAACTAAAATTACGTAATTTGCAAACTAACCAAAATATTCATAACCAAGCACAATTATCAACTAACATGCCTAATACAGAAAATGAGCAAGACCATGCCCAGTCACTACACCAAGCATACACATTTCCAAGCACATCTCAAGGTGTAGTGGCAACCACAAGTGAACGTTATGCTAAGAACACAAATGTAAAGCAAGGGAAAGTAGCACTTAAAAATGTTGTTGGTGGTGGTCATGTTATTGAGTCTATATCCCCACATAGTCAACACCATAAGCTTAATACGCCTCATAGAGTGCGTAAGACAATCACTGAAAACTGTAACAATAATGACAGCAAAATTTCAGTTCCAGGTGCGCCACAAAGCGGTGAGTTGTTGTGGGAAGAGGACACACTGTGGCGTGAAAGTTTGCGAAAAGTATCACAGCGACATGCACGTTCACTAGATGATCTCGATCGCATAGCGGGTGCATCGTTAGTGTGTAAAAGACTGGAACCAACAACAAGAGAAATTGAAAAGCACACCAAAGTTAAAATCACACGAGATGTAACTTATGTGAATGATAATATATCACAACAGCTACGTGCTAGCTTCAAACCACGCTATAGCGAACCAATGCGGACTGGGGCACCATCAGCTGAACAAAGTGCTGTACTTCAACAACATTTCGTTGCAGACAGAAATAATGAAAACGATGTTTATGTGCAATTAATGACAGATGCTATGAATGACATGCAAGATCCGAATTCCTCCGATGTTTATGAGGTGTTGCGAGAAGATAGCAGCTCAATTAACTCCTATAAATCGGCTGAAATAGATCGTGAAACACTGCGTCACTGGGATTCCATGTCAAGTGGCTTGATAAATACGCCAAATCTGTGCAATAATGGTAATGATACCGAAGATAAGAACTCAAACATCTCAACTGTTAAGACGATCATAACACAAATGAATGCAAATTCGGAAGCAGACGCCAACACAAACTCACATGTAAATAGTATTAGTTTAGAGGACACAGTGCAAAAATCAACATATGACATACATGAGTAGACTAAATGAGATCAATTAAAACTTAATTTTAATTTGGCGAAATGTAAAATAAAAAATATTTACATATAAACAAACACTTACGTGTAATGATAATTTGTGATTTTACTAAACGCGAGTATGTAAAAGAGCAAAAAATTACTTAACATTTTATTTGCAAATATTAGACTTTGTAGAAATTCAATAACATTTTCATTTACTGTATATGTTTGTGTATATAAAAACCCATTTGAAATTTTAGTTGATTTTGATTTTGTTGATTTTTGCATACATTATTTGTAAATTCACACTATAATTGGCCATCACAACAAAATGAACAAAACTACAAATGTACAGTACACAATGAACGCACACAAAGCGTGTGCACACACACATATAACTAGCAATCTAGCAATTGCACTTTACACAGTCGAATCGCACAATAAAGTACACTACGCGTACAAAAATACACTAAAAATACACACTAAAGGACATCTAACGTAGCGGAACGTAGGTACAGTTTCAGTGTTCCACTTTTGTTGTTTTCAATTTGCAATTATTATTTTATTTGTTGTTATTGTTGCATTTCTGTTTGTAAAATAATAAAAATTAAACATTATTTAAGCTAAAAATGGTAAGCAAATTTTATTCTACAAATACAATATAAAAAAATAATATTACTTTTATTTACTTCCTTTCTTTCTACAATATATACTCGTAAAAAACAAATGCTACTTAAATCCTTTATTCATATGAATGAGTATTTTATTAGTTAGAAATAGAAACTATATTCTTCTATTCTATTTTCTTTTTTTAATTTTTATTATTGTAAATATTTTTATAGTTGCCATTTTTCCATAAATAACAATAGCTCGTAAAATAATTTTGCATTTTCGTATACTAAAGTGGCAAAAATATGCAGATTTGTTTTTTTTTTTTCATTCAGAACTTAATCCTCGCTGAACATATCAAACACTTTTATGTAAATAGAACTAACCTAAATTTAGCTAAAAAATTTATATTAAAATTTTATTAAAAATAAAAAATGGTCTGAACATAAGTGGTTGATTAAAATAAGTATTTAAGAGTATTCAAAATATAACATAGAGTATTTAAAATGAAGTATATATTTTAAAATGATATAGTATTAAAGGAGTATATAATAATGAAATACAATAACAAAAATTTTTTTATTAATTACATATATTAATTTTTAGACTGACCGTACATGACTATAGGTATATTATGTTTCCACTGCAGCTAGAACTATTTATGTTAATTTTATTAATTTTATTTTTAATTTTTAAGTTGTTAGATTAAAAATAAAAATATTTTAAAGTCGTTTTTGTTTTTTTAAAATTTTAGATATTATTTCGATCATTATTTCGAATTCGCTTTTGCCTTCATCAGAACAATTCCTAATATTCAGATTTAGTTGTTTCCATTGACATGAGCTGATTAATGCATATGAAATAGCTTGTTTTTTTTTAATATTGTACTTATAAACCATACAACAAATATTTTAAATGTTAACAATGTCTTTTGTGGAAAATAAATTTTTAAGGGTTGCACTCGACATTTTTCTCCTTAAATCAATTGATTTATTTATAATGAGCTCATTTACATAAAAGCACTTTGTGTGGTAAATTATTTTTACTAGCGGCTTTAATGAGCAAAACTGCCTTAGTGAGATAGTATTAGTGGTATATACCAGTTGGGAATGGAAAACTTCCTTACTCTTGTTAAATATATTCGTTTATTTTATACAAGATACAAAAATTTATTTTTACAAAAAAGTTTTCATTTGAACTTTGAATTAGTTTTAAAAAATCTGACTCTAAATAGGTTTCTGTAGGTTAGGTTATCCCTAGGGAATCCAATAAGGCCTATTGGTCCATTGTGTTAATAAGTTCCTGTAAATACCTGAAAAATCTTTTTTAATCAGCTATTTCGGGTATAGCCAGATAATACTTTTTTGGATTTAATCGTTTGCTTGTATATATTTTTTAGACTCCAAAAAAAAAATTGAACTTGTATATTGCCAAATTTGTGCCACAGAATCTCATTTTAGACACCTAAACCAATGCCGTACTTATGTTAGACTTTTGTTAATAATTATGTCAGTTTGTCAGTTACTACATAGCAACTCCAACAAATTCAGTAGGAGGCTTTGGTACAGGCTTCGAGTTATAGCTTCGAGCTGAAGTTAAATCGCAAACTGAAAAACAAAAACAACCGACATTTTTGATGGAGTGAAAACCGGAACCGGACTCATTAAAATGAGAAAATGTTCATTTCAAAGTTCTACTAAGTCAAAAATAATATTCAACGTCAGTCCAAAAATTCTCTCTTATTATTTATTTACAACGCATTATCAGATTTTGGCATGTGGCAGTACTCTTCTCCAGTTGCCTAGATTATGACAACAAGCTGTTTTGTTTTGATGTTGTATTTCATTACTGATTACCCCTTTAAATATTTTCTATTTAAAGTACTTCCTTCATTATTTTTTACTTTATTATTAATTTAGTAAGGTAATATAAAAATATATAAAATAATTTATTTATAAATAATACGCATAGTTATTATGTAGAAGCTTCTATGCTGAATGTGTACTGGCTTTTAGTAATTAAGGTGGCTTAAAGGATTCTTGAATTAATATGTCTAGACTTAATAACACTTGTGGATGGATTTTTTAGTATGTAGCTCATGGATGAATTGAATTACGTACTTCAAATCAGATATGATCCATGAATGATCCATTTCAGATATGATCCATGAAAATAAAATCAAAATTATTAATATTTTAATTATTAATAACTAGAAGACCGGTGCTAGGCTAGGCGGTCTTTTTAAAAACTGTTCTAGCACATTTTCGGTGATGTTTGAGGAATACCTAAGGAATGTAATTTTAGAGGTTTAATATTAAAAGTTAAAAAAAAATAATATATTGATAACATGTGATTGCTATAAAAATGACTTAATTGAAAACATAATTGTATGCCATTTAAATATAATTTAGGGCATAAATCAAATAGTTTTGCAATTTTCGAACAATCATTGCCGTTTTTTTGGCAATAACTCTGTGAATATTATCGTCGAAGTACCAATATTTATTTAAATATATCAACGCCTTCACATATCCCTAAAAAAAACAATACGGAGGAGTGAAATTATATGATCGTAAATGGCAATTCATAAAACTACTATGTGAAACTATACTCTCATTGAATATTTTCTGTAATTATTTGAGCGATGTTGGTGTATTATTCAGACTAGTTCTCCAATAACCATAATATTCTGTTTGGGAGTATCTTTGAAAAATGATTGGATGAATGATCCCAGCAATGTGTAAAGCATACCAACGTTTATTCCAACGGAATAACTGAATAGAAATCGGTTACCAATTGTCGAAATGGTGGTGCCAACTTTAAAATTAAATTTCCAAATGGAACACACTTTGTATTAGAGCAGTTCATATTATTGTATTTGAAATAATTGATATCATTTTAATTTTAGTTCTAAAATAGCAAAACACATCGAAGAAACTTACTTAGGAAGACATATGAGAATATATAAGATAGTTCGGCGACCAGTAGCTACATGTGGAACTTTGTTATGGCCAATGAATAAAAGCAGTACTTCAAAACACATTCGGTCCAGTTCAACAAGAACGTAATTATTTAGGACGCTATTAACTGAACCACATAATCAAAATTCCTATCAAAAGAAAACTGTAGAAGAACGCCTCTACAGCCAGTACATTCTTATATCTTGATGATAAAATTCTGTTTAACTTGTGTTACAAAAAATTAATATGTAGAAGTTACTAAAAGTACTAGAAAAGTAGAATAGAGGATGACCAAGAAAGAGACGAAGCGACGGAGTTCGAAATAATTTGAGAATATTACAGGTATTTAATCAGAGAACAATAGAAAGAACTGAAAGTGACTGAAAGAAAATTATTCTGCATATCAGTTTTTTATGACCGAAGAACCTAGAAAATTTTGTAGTCCATTATCCAATATTATAATTTATGCAATTTTAAAACTACACAACAACTATTTCGAACTTTGAACAATTTTAACTGCACCATCTAATATGTGGTACTTTCAATCAATTTAAGATGATTATCCAGACAATATTCGATCTATTTACTTATATTCGGATGTTCGGTGTCTTCAAAAGACTAGAAATATCTGAAAGTTAACCAAACTAACAAGTGTGAATATAGATATTCCTCGAAAAAAATTTAATTTTTCCGTTTCTATATAAATATTATAATGGTATTTATCGGTTGAGAGCATATTAAGTCATCCAAAACTAAACCTAAAATCTAAAGTACTAAATTGAGTCTATTGAAACAAATTATCGGATAGTGATTAGTAAGTGATGTGTATGTATTTTACATATTTTGAGATAATACTTTGTAGTAAATATCTGAACGAGTAGTAGGACTTGAACCATTTGAAATTTTATATTAAGCAATAAAGTAGTTAATATTTAAAAGTTTTTGATGTATCCAATCTATAGTTAGTATAATTTAGATTTTTCATATAAAATATATTACATATTCCGAACAGTAAAATGCAGTTCCTTATTATTAACATAAACAAAGAAATATATTATTTTGCATTTTTTATGATAGTTTTTTTTTTGTAAATATTTATCTTTTAGAACGCATTGCTCCCTACAACTTCTAACATTTCACTTTTATCTTTTTTATTATCTTTAAATTTATTGCAATTCTAAACCATCTTTTGAACAAAACATTTTAAAATGCATTTGAATACGTATTAAATGTATTTTGTTGTAATTTCTTTTCATTTTTGTAGCTTCAATATCGGTACGAAATGTACGCAACTTACCCAAAGGCAATCTAACCGTGAAACCGGATCCATCGGATCCACAACTTCCGCACACACAACAGCAGCTACAAAACCCACTTAACGATTACGATCAAATGAGTAAACTAACAAATTCCTACTATGGCACCGCACATGACACCAAATATGCAAAAACAACTTCGCTTACGGATCGAAATGGCACCTATGGGGACTTTAGTTACGGTACAGGCACAGGCAGC